TTTTCTTTTCAAAAACGATAAATTATTCAAAAAAACAAAATATCTCGTTTAAATAATTTTCAATTGCTCACTTTCACTAATCTTTTTTTCATTAATCAATATAATGTCATGATAACAAATTAATTTGAAACCTAATGATCAATCATTCGATCGGATATAAATTCGATCACGATTCCAATTCATCGGGTATCTATCGAGTGAAGTCAATTAATTTATCGGTAGGATTCTAGTGACACCAGAATACGGTGACACACCGGTGTCACTGTCATTTTAGAATACATTCGGTGCTTCGTTCACAAAATTGATAGTTCCTACTCCCTTAACCATACTTCGGTGTCACTAGAACCTTACCGTATACTCCGTATATAATACATGAACAACTCAAATTGTGTTTTGCTTTCTCTTTGTCTTAAGTGTTCATTTCATTAAAATATGTGGACTAATAAGAGCAAAAATGACATTTTACATTATTATATTTTCTTTCATCTTAATTACTTTTCTCTCTAATCAAAAAATGAAAGAAATTGTTTTTTGTCTTTTATTTATTTTACTAGTATTAACCCTGTGCTTCGCACGGGCTCGTAAACATTCTAAAATTTTAATATTCTACTTTTTATTTTCATTACTCATTTGATAAAATAATATAGTCATGTCATCTCATTTTTTTTAAATTTTTGATGCAGTTTTAAATATAAAAGTTTTATTTTTAAATTTTACACTTAATCAAACAAATTGAATTTAAAATAACTTCGGTCAAATCTCGTAAATTGAGAAGCCAGTTTTAGGACAGAGGGTGTATAATAAAATAAATCTAAAGTTTTAAAATATATATCATATAGTTAATAAAGATGTTTATGTAATAGAGTCAATAGCACTCAAAAAAAGACACATATGTGATAAATTAATGAAATTGCTTTTTAGAAGTAATAGAAATATAAATTATGGATTATAAAAAATAACTTATTTAACATTTTTAAATTAATGAAATTAGTTTTCGAACTTTAAAATATATTACAATGATGAAAATATAATACAAAAATTATTATTAAAGTTAGGAAGTGAAAGTTTATAAAGTGAAAGAATTTATAAAGTATAATAAAAATAGTGATTATTTAATATAAAAATTAATACACACGCATGGCATGCCACGTGGCATGTGATGCACATATGGCATGACACGTGTTACAAATGTACACGTGTGGCGTGACACATGTCGTTACCGCATTTAAACCGCTCAACTTTATAGATATACTAGTGTTAATCCCGTGCTTCGCACGGGCTCGTATATATTCTAAATTTTTGACATTTTATAAATATAATTTTATTTATTTTAGTTTTTTAATAGTGACATAATATGTGTTAGATTGATATATAATTTAAATATAGATGTACATGCACTAAAGATTCTATAAGTATTTTCTTTAAAAGTAGTAAAAGAGAAATAATTTATTGTTTTTAAAAATCATATAAAACTTTATTTTTCAAAACATCAATAAAGTTAAAAAAATATTTTATACATATAATTTAATTATGTGAACAGAATATGTTTTAAACTGGTGGAATATATATATTGGTATGTTTATTTAAAAACAAAAATTTTATACAAAACTAATGACCATTATTGAATGAAGTACTAATGAAAATGGTTTTAATTAATAAAACATTATTATAAAAAATGGACTAATTAAATAATGATACATCATTAGAGAATGTATATGTGACAATATATATGTATGTATGTATGTATGTATATATGTATGTATCTATCTATACATATACATGTGTTTGTGTTTGTGTGTGTGTGTGTGTGTGTGTATTACAATGATGGTATATATGTTTATAAAATTGTTAAAAAATCACATTTTTATACAAAGTATAATTAAATTAATATTTTTTACTAAAATATAATCTTTATTGAATGTAATACAATAAAATGTGTTAAAAGATATTTTTAAATAATTAAATGGACCAATAAAATTCACCCATCTCATCAAGGAATGCACATGTGGATGATTATGTGGCATGCCACATGTCAACACTCCAAGAATTGAACCTAACTTTACATATATATATAGGATATATATATATATATATATATATATATATATATATATATATATATATATATATATATATGGGTTGGTTCATGTGAGAATGATGCTTTGTGAAAGAAATAAGAATAAATAATAGACACACGATTAGGTGTAATGTGCGGCTGAGATCAAAACTCCTAGTAGATTAGTTTATCAACTCTAAAATGGAAAGTAGGAATGACCGTGCTTTGAAATAGGAACAAATTTAATTTGAGGGGCATAAGTGTCATCCGAAATTAGAAAAATTTGCCGGATCGTTTAAAGAATAATTCACTTGCCGGTTTCATCGACTTTCTTTGTCGAATAGTGTAAAGACCTGGATTCTTCCATTTTTACCATAGAAACAACTCGAAAGCAGATTTGAACACAAAATCCTTTCCGCCAATGAGTAATATTGCAATAAAAAATGAGGCGCTGCAACATCGGTGAAGAGGCAGGAAAGTGTCAAGCAGAAGTCCGCAAAATAGGTGAAAACTTGTGATATATATTTTGTTATTGCTTTGATTGAAAATCTTTTTGGTATCCATAGTTTAGTGCGAGGACATGGTGTTGATGGCATTTTGAATGTGTTAATATTTAATTGAAAAAAAGTGTTTAAGATTTGTAGAGCTATTGCATTCTTAATTTAAGTGTTTTCTTGTTTCTTGTAGAGGTTAGATTGGTTTGGTGTTTTGTAGATCTATGGTCATAGAATGTTATGCATTGTCTAGAACTTAAAATGCAGTGTCTAGAACTGAAAATGCAGAGCGAATAATCTAACTGCATATGTATGCGTTTTTAAATATGTGCTCTTAGACCATGAATATTAACTTGCTTCATATAAAACTTGTGTGCCCTTTTGATGCACTATATCTAATCTTTTTGTGTGGGAAGTAATAGGAATGAATTTATTAATTGAACTAATTATGAATGCCTTCTTGCATGAATCAACCTCTCTTTTCAAAATTGATGTTATTTTAGTTCAATTCGCTCCTTGAAACTCGTGAGTTAATTTTTTTTTTGTGTCATGTTTTCCAGTTAATCATGTTGCATCTGGTGTGAAATGTATTGCATTTGATAGTTTCGTGTTTGTTTCAAAGGACTTTGGTATTGATGTGCTATTACGTTTCTTATGAGCGTGACAGTAAGTACATTAGATGATGTTGTTTTATGAATTTAGTTTTTTCACCAAATAAGATTTTTATCTACAAGTTCATTACATGATCATTTCATTGGTTTCCCTCTGTTGCAACCACCTTCCATGATGCATTTCACTTACCAAATAGTGAGTATATGCATTTCCCTGGTGGTATTTAGACATTGGTGGAGGTGTGGATCTAAATTCTAAGACAGGTATTTGTATTTTTGGTAAATGAAAAACTATAATGCTATGTTCAGAGGTAGAAATGTAATGCCTATTTTTTTATGTTATTACAAAAAGGTTAGAATCGTAGATGCATAATGTGTTTCTAATCTTTGATACTGCAGGTGGGGGCATAATGAGAGTGCATAAAAGGAATTCACACACTTTGTTTATGCTTGAAAATAATCTTAAGAGGCCAATTCAAATAGATCATCTTCCATTTGTAGGAGTGGCCGCATAAAGAATGCATTAATTAAGAGTCATGACAAGAGAGAATAAATGTGCCAAAAACTTGGATGATTGTAGAGAGTACGGAGTGTGAGGAAAAGAGCCTTAATTTCCAGGATGCAAGAATCTTTGACATTTTAATCATTCATGTATTTTGGTGTTCTAGTAAAAAAGTTAGATATGGCTTAATTTTTTCGAAATAGTTCACCTAAGCACAAACTGTAGTGCATTGGGCATGATTTTGTATTGGTGCAAGTTTTATGCACTAAATAAAACAACGTGATGTGTCAGGTGCATTATATTAAGTGGATAGTACATTTACGTCAATAGACTTTGCATTCTTTGTACATTGATCATCTTGATGAATCATCTCCTATAATATGTATGGGGGGTCTCAAGCGAACAAGAATAATTGTATTATGGATGTTTGTTACAAAATCATTATCCTATTCGTATGCATTTCTATCCGTATGCATTTATCATTGTCTCTAAGGATGACGCACCTGTAAAGCAATAAATAGCATACGATATGTCATATTATTGCAAATGCATCAATTTTAAATTATACGATGGAGCTATCACTTTAGAAATATATTCCTTCCTTTCATTTTCTTCAACTAATATGTAAGAACCAAGTAGGATGAGGACAAGTTTATGCCTTGGATACATCTTGTTGATATCCTCACATCAAGGAAAAACATCTGGTCCACAGTGTTAGAGTTATTGCTCACTCTTTTTCAAAACAAAAGTTAACTAATAGTAACATTAGCTTACATTATTATATTTTGTCCTAATCTCCATCTAATTCATCTATTCTTCTTTCACTGTATTGCTAGGCTCCACATTGGAGTATAAAGAAAAGAAAAAAATAAAAAAGATTAGAACATACAGAAAAAATGAAGTAAACTAGAATTAAAGGTAAGTTACAAATCGTTGTTATTGTTTGCTTGTTTATTACCACCAACTCCAACTACAACCGATCTAATTCATCTCTTCCAATTGCTTCTTCATTCAGCTCATCTTCACCATCGCGAGGTACACCATCATCATCATCTAACTCTTCAACGGTTATTTAAAACATAACCGTATGCAATTAGATGTATCACAATGCATTTTAAGGGTGTATTGCTGCATATATAGGCAACCAAAAACTTAATCATGTAATGTAAGTCACTAATATAGTTACATATAATAAATAAGACTTGGTTAAAACATAAATTATAGAAGTTGACAGCCAATCTCATTTTCAATACACATGGTGCATCCTGGTTTTTAAGACCAATCTCATTCAAGAATCATTAGTACAATACTAATAAAGTAAATGATGCATAAGAGGTCATTAACACCTTAATTTGTTCCCCATGAGTCCAAAACTCAATTCCAATCAGGTGCGATTTTGACAATAAAGGTACTCTTCTCTATACCCAATCAGCTAATCCTAAAATGTTAAACTAGATAGTATACAAATGCATTGGAAAAGGGGGAGAACTGCATTATCCGTGATACAAAATGCAATAATACCTAAGGAATGGAATATTAAAACCTGAAATTACACCATAAGTATCAGTTATCAAATAAAAAAAATTCACAATGTATATCAATTAGCACATGTATGAGTATGACAAAAGTCCAAAAAATAGAGATTAGAATAAAAAAAATATCATGAATTGTAAATTTATCAAAACACTAAAACATCTTTTTTAACATAAATTTGTGTAAGATAATGAATTTACAAAAGCTGAAAATGCAAAGAACCAACTAAATAAATAATATTAAAGAAAAATGCAATCAACCTGACTTGTGGTTATAAGGAGCATTTACATAATCGAAAAATGCATTACCATGAATTTAAATATACAATGCTAAGGTGAAGAATTAAATATATAAAAACAACATAAAAAATGAACTCACATGATTCATCATGAAATAACTAATGATTGATGTCCGTATGTTGAAAATCCAAGAATAGATGGGAAAAAAACTTGGTAAATCAGTAAATCAACCCCCATCCACAAGTTTGAACTTGGTGGCTGTGAAAAGCGATACTGAGAAATAAAAAAACTTACCTAATTCCAAAATAGATGGAGACAAATGCCTAATTCCATCAGCGATGTTATGAAATAACACTTTTAATGGATAGAGACAAATGCCTATTGTAGTCAGATAATAATAATAATAATTAAAACCTCTCAATTGCAGACTTGCAGATGGAGCATCGGAAACATATCAATAAACGAAATTGTTCATAAAAAATTGAGATCGTTAAACATCTCAGCGTGGTAATAGAGAAACGGAAGTAAATGAAGAAATGAAAGCCCCAAATAATGGAGAGCAGATTTTAGGGAGAAGATATGGATCGGATAGAATGAGATCAGGGAGAGATTTGATAAAAAATATGAAAAGCCAGAAATGCCCATGACTTGAAATAGATGTGCACTACAAATTGGATCAGATCTAACGGTTGCAAAGAATTCTTATTTCTTTCATTAGATTTTATTCTTATTTGAACCAAACTCTATATATATATATATATATATATATATATACACACACACACACATATATATACATATATATATACATACATATATATATATATACATACATATATATATATATATATATATATGTATATATATATATATATATATATGATGATATGATGATATGATGATTATTAAGTGGAGCATGGAGTCAGGTAAAATGTTATGCACTAATAATTTTAATAAAAATTGGACACTGAAATCTAAAACCAGATGTCTTAAGGTTAGATTGGGCCTTTTCGGGGTATGGTTGTTTTTCCATCTAATATAGGAGGATCACATTCATCAAAGAAAGGAAAGTGGACCAAACAACTAAAAAACACAATTTTAGCTCAAAAAGAGGCCCAATTTTAACGAGACTCAAGAAGATGAAAAATTCTGAGAAAATCTCAAGTTCTATCTCACTTTTGACTCTAATGTATTTATCTACGAGTACATTATAGACACAGAATAATATTTCGTATCTGTGATGTCTATGAAGACATCGGGTCAAAGGTAGGGTGTTATGTAACTTGAAATTCTTCACGCATAGCTCTATATTTCATCTATCGTTGTTAAATATATAAAATATATTTAATATTATTATATTATGATTGTTACCATAATTGTATAGGCTTTCTATTATGTCTCTCCTACCTTATTTAGGATTGAGACTCTTAGTATATATATACATGTACTCTTCACACGATTAAATCAATGAAAATAATTCTTCTTCATGGTATCGGAGCCTAACCAAAAACCCTAAATTCTTCTTCTTGTTTTTCGGCCTCCTTTCCTCGCCAAACACCCGCCACCGTCGCCCCTCTCCCTCGTCGGTCGGCAGCCCTCTCCCCCTCCTCACCAATGGCTGAAAGTGAGGTCACCTCTCAATCTGCAACCCTAAAACCTCCATATCTGGCTTTCACTGTCTCCAACGTCAAACTCCATGTACCTATACAACTCAGCTTCTCTCAACAAAACTACAAAAAGTGGAGTTGTTTGTTTCTTCTTCTTGCTCGACGGTTCAATCTCCGTGGTTATCTCAACAGCTCCGTCGTCCCTCTCTCGGACGATGATGATGAATGCTTCCAGCTTGATGCCATCCTTCAAGGATGGATTTTCTCCACTATTACAGATGAAGTTTCTGATCTGTTCCTCTTCTCTGTCTCTACTGCCTCTGCACTCTGGAAGGTGATTTATGATTTGTTCCATGACAACAAGCATGCACGTGCCATGCAACTCGAGCATCAATTCCGCACCACCATGAAGGGATCCACTCCCATGGCCACCTATTGTCAAGATCTATGAAATATTGCGGATTGGCTGGGTCCTTTTGTCCAGGGATTGGGAAAAAAGAAGTATGCCATTGTGGGGATAGACTATTTTACCAAATGGATCGAAGCGGAAGCCCTTGTGAAGATTACGAAAGAGAATTGCAAGACGTTTGTTTGAAAAAATTTATTATGCAGGTTCGGCGTTCTTGAGCAAATAATAACTAGATAATGGTACTCAGTTTGCCAACACAAGTTTCAAGGAATTTTGTGCTGCGTGGAAAATCAAGCTTAGTCGAGCAATCGTGGCCTATCCACAAGGCAACGGCCAGGTAGAGAATGCCAATAGGACAATCATTGATGGCATCAAGAAGAGATTGCATGAATTAGGCACTTCCTGGGCGGAAGAGATGTCCTATGTCCTATGGGCCCATATAACCACCCCAAGGAGGGCCATAGGGGAAACTCCTTTTGCCTTAACCTATGGTTTTTGAGGCAAAAGTACACCCCGAGCCTCAATGAACAACTAATGGAGATGGATGCCCATTTCCATCAAGAAAAAAGGAAAAAAGCAGCAATGAAAATGGAAGAGTACCAGCGACAGTCCAAGAGGTATGATGACAAGAAAACTTTACCTCGAGCCTTTGAGGTGGGGGATTGGGTTTTGTGGAAAAGAGAGAAGAGCCAACCCACAAAAGGAGGAAAGTTGGCCAAAAATTGGGAGGGACCGTACCGTATAGAAAGAGTTATACGCGTTGGGACCTACCAATTGGCTACAATGGATGGCAAGACATTGGACAACTATTAGAATGTGGAGCACTTAAAAAAGTTCTATCAATAGAGCGATCTGTCCAAGGTTTTTCCAATAAATTCTCAAAGCATCCCTTAGTTTGTTTCGATTTATTTCCTTTTTTGCAAGTGAATGTAATGTTCTCCATATGTAAAAGTAAAAAGAAAAGAAAGAGGCACGCAATATTCAAATTCATCATTCCAATCATCGGTCCAAGGATTACATAAAAAAAGGAAGGACTAATCCTTTACAAACTACAAGGGACGGGAATCAGCGTGACAGAGGACGAAACTGGGATGGATCTGGCCCCATGGGTTCAGGAATGCCAGGAATTCTCACCCAAGGGTCTAAGCCATCACAGTAAGGCTCTATTCCAACATAGAATTCGTCCCGAACCGACAGCCCGCCATGTAGAAACCCCGGCCATTCTTTGAGATGCGCTCCGCCTCGATTCGAGCCATATGCCCCTCGTAAGTAAAGCGCTTGGTCTCAAGGGAATGAAGAGCCTCCTCGAGCGAGCTGTAGGCAGAACGTCTCTCCTTGGTAAGAGCTAAGTTAAGCTCTTCCACCTGACGACAGAGTTGACGTTCCACCTCCTCAAAATGGAGACGCCATCTTTGCTCGGCCTCCTCCGTCGCCTTCCTTGATGCCTCCTCAGACTCTTGACACCATCTGCGCTCAAGCTCCTCCTCCGCTTGCCGGCGGTGGAGAGCGCCCTCTTCTCGGATCAACCGCTCACGCTCCAAGCACTGCCAGACCGAAACCTCCCTCGCCAACTTCATATCCTCCACATCCTTTACCCGGCACACCCATAACTACATCTTCTTGGCCGTAAGGCGTTCGTTCTCGGACGAGACCCGGTTGTTCTCGGACAAGACCCGATCGTACTCCGGACGCTCAACATAAATAGAGTGTCGGGACTGGAAATTAACCAACTCCTAGGACAAAGCGGCATTACGGTCTAAGAGGCAGAGGGCGTTGCGCTGAGTGGCGGAGGAAGTGACATACTCAGACTGCAAAAATAAACATTCCATGATGAATAACGACAAAGGACAAGAAAGAATTAGAAAAGACAGAGTTAAGAGAAGAAATCTTACCATACGAGTGTACTCCTCCAACATGAAAGGCCAAGCCGGACTTTCGAGCACATCAGGGTGATCCTTCCGGAACTGATCCATCTCGAAGAGGCGATGTTGGAAGTCCCGTCCGCCCCAAGCCGTGTAGCCTGTGAAGAGATGGGACTCCCGGGCATAAGGGTAAGGTAAATCGGCGAACGTCGTATCCTGCGTAGTGGGAGGCTTGTCTCCAGCAGTCCCTATGGCCACGTCGGCGGACTCTCTTGAGCCTTGGGGAGGAGTGGAGTTCCGGACTCGCTTGCGGCAAGCTTGAGAAGATGAAGACCCGGTCTCATATGTTGGACCGGGATTAGCAAGAGGATGGACCGACGGGCGAACATTGGCCCGCTGGAAGCTGGAGGACTGAATGAACTCCTCGGCCTCCATGAAGGACCGCTAGATATCCGATCCAGGAGAGAGGTGCCTTGGCTGATGTGCGGTCCAAAGATGCTCCCGCCGCTGACTCTTCTCCACTACAGCCAGATGATGGGGAGAAGTGCCAAGAAGATTCTAGGTTGCCTTAGAGCCCAAGCCCGTACACTTGGACATGGGGCGGTTCAAGGGACCCCTGTGAACCAGTCGCTCGGCCAATGGGATGGGTCCCACTACCATGGGGATGAAAGCCCAGTGAACTGGCGTGGTGCTGAGTGGAAGATGAAATCCCCCTGCCAAAGAGAAGGGTTTGAGGCCCCTAAGAACCAAAGATAATGTAGTGGGCCGGCAAGAGGATCTGTCCAAGAGGCAAGGTAGGGAAAGAAATAAGGTTGGGGGCCTCAGATATGGGCTGGATCTCAGCCCATTAAGAACGGGTCACTCAGAGGAAGAGAACCCCACAATTAAATTAGGGTAAGCCGTCCTCTTGAAGGAAGGGACGGTTGGACAGAGGATGCAAGGAATAATGGTCGGACGGACATATTTGTCCTTAAGTGGATGACATTAAGCTGAGAAATATATTTTCGTGAAAGATGAGGATTGCCCGAATATTTTCCCAACCACCGCGAATATATTGATGAGATGGTGGTTGGGGAAGCTCCTATAAAAGGAGAAAGAATTTAGATAGGAAGGATAACTTGTAACTTAGAGAGAAAAGACTTGAGTAATAAAAGTATATTCCGGTGGTCCTATAGAATATTCCGATCCCAAGGTGGACCGAATAGAAAAAGGACCTCCGGTTTGAGTTCATATATTGTGCGCACTACATTAATTTCCCATCCATTACTCTTTTCTTTTTACTTTCTTACTGTTATAAGGCCCGGATACTAATAATTATTAGTATTATTATTAGTACTAAAACAAATGTACGAAATTATAGATTTTTATATGTAAATGCACATACAACGAATAAACAAAATAATTTCATCTAAATATATAATATAAAACCTCCCAAAGAGGCACCACGATGACACTTTGTTATCCATATTTGTGTTTTTATAATTTTTTTAGTTAGTTTTTATTTTTAATAATTTAATTTAATAATTTTTCTTGTCTAGCTTATTTAGTGGAGTGAAAAGAATATAAACTTAGAAAATAAAGTCTTTCTGTTAGTATTATATCTTAAAACATGGAAGAATAGCTCTGGTGCCCTTGTGATTTGAAAATTAAGCCTCGACCAATAATATCCGATCTTTTTTCAAAACGTAGTTATAAATCTATATGATATGCCCCCTCCGTAAGTGAAACTTAGGCGTTTGGATTTCACGCTACAGGAGTGCAACTGAAGTTTAAAGTGGGGGATTAGTACTCATTTTCTAAACCATAGGGGCACAAAACATGCTTTGATTTTTATTCATTTTTTAATTTTTTCTTTTTGTTTCTCCGTTTTCTTCTCCTTGTTTCACTTCAAGAAGTTTTTTAAATTTTTTTCATAATTATGCCTTATTATATTTTAAATTTCAAAATTGTTCATGTTTGAAATAAAGAAAATAAAAATATAACATATATTCTACGAGTATCTGTTTCAAATTAAACATTTTTTATTTTCTAAAATAAAATAAAAAATTAATTTTTGGAACGTTCAAGAAAAATCAAGAATAGAACAATAAAATAGAATAAAATAATAACAAAAGGAAATAAAAAAAGAAAAAGATGCAAAAATACACTAATAGAAAAGATAAAATTGTAGCCATGGAGAGGGGTGATACATTTTTGCATTGTCCAAAAAAAAAGTCTTTATTTTTATTAGATGTCTCAAAAAAATTATTCTTTTTTAAGAAGACATTTTTACAATATCTTGAAATTGTAAGGCATCGATCCAAAAAATTATTTATTTTTATCATTCTGAAAGAATTTTATCCAAAATTTTAAATTTTTGGACGTTCCAAAGAAAACCTTATTAGACAACTTTATTGATACATTTCCACTTTTCAATAAGAGAATTTTTGCATCCTTTTGTTTTTTCTTTTCCTTTTTCTAATTTTCTTTTGTTTTCTTTCTTTATCTATTTTCTTTTTATTTTATGAACGTACAAAATAGTTTGTTTACTTTTGAAAAATTAAAAACGGAAATGTTTAACTTTAGATAGAGAAATTATATGTTATATTTTTCTATTTTGATTTTTGTATTTCAATTATAAACTAATTTGAACTTTAAAACATTGTAAAGAAGAATTCAAGAAAGAAGTTTAAGAATGATAATAGGCAATATGCCCATGTAGATTGGAAATAGGCATTAATGTCCCTCTCCCCCTTTTTACACAAAACTGAAGGAAAAATAATACAAACCGAGGTGGTGCGTGTGCAAGCTTTTTGAAATGACAAACACTTTTTAATAAATTTTGAAAACAATTAATTTATTCATACCTATTTTTCAAACCACACGGAGCACTAAAACTATTTTAATATATTCTATTTTATGTGTCATTCGGTACTTTAAACTATAAATATATGAATATCAAGATTATATTTTTTTTCAATTCTCAATTTCTTACTATAATATTTTTTCTCTATGAAAAATTATGTTCCAATAAATGAAAACAAAGGGCCAAAAACTCATACTAATAAAGATGATGGAAATAATTTTTTTGAAATTTGTATTTCTTTTTTCTAACTATTTTCATTTAAAAACAAAAGTTTTATCTGCTATAAACACTCCTTATTTCTTAGGTAAACTATTAAAGACTATCGGTACCGTGATGTGAATACATAGATATAATATCTCATAAAAAATTAAATCTTGATAGATTTTTTTTATATTCCCTGTAATATTTTAATTTTAAGGAAATTATAATTATTAAAAAGTTATGAAATACATTAAACCATAAAATTTTTCTTATTAAAAATTATCAAATATATTATTAAGAACCATAACGACCTAATTTTCTTTAATCAACTTTTCATCTTTAATTATGTGATATAAGATCAACTATATTTTAGCTCAATAAATTTCCATACAAAAGAATAGATTAATAATTTTTTAAAAAAATTATACTTTACTCAAAAGACGTTTAATATCATTGCCGTTTTTATGAAAAAGAAGACCGAGTTAATCATGATTAGTTTTTTTTATGAATAATTCATTTAACTTTTAAAAAAACTTATATTTTTATTTTGTTTACATAATTTTCAATAAGTTTAATTAAAAGCCCATGATTTTTTAATATAAAATACAGTTTTTAAAACTCATCAAATTTTAAAAGTTATCATAAATATTTTTTCATAAATGTTGAATGCAAATTTAAAGCATGCCATGTAGGATGACAAATGTCAATATTTTAGAGACCGAGTCTCAAATATTATAGTAAAGGAAATGATTTATGAAAAAGAAGACCGAGTTAATCATGATTAGTTTCTTTTTTAAGAATAATTCATTTGCTTTTTTTCAAATAACTTATATTTTTATTTTGTTTACGTAATTTTTCAATGAATTTAAAAAATCGTTATTTTTTAAAATATAAAATACATTGTTTTAAACTCATCAAATTTTAAAAGTTATCATAAATAATTTTTCATAGATGTTAAATGAGAATTTAAAGAATGCCATGTAGGATGACACACATGTCAACATTTTAGAGATATGACTCTCAAATATTATAGTAAAGGATAAAGGATAAAGGATATATAGGAATGAGTAAAAACTCTACATAAATGAATGATTCTTTTAAATCCATAAGTATTTTAAATTATATTGAATACCTCTAGCTTTCTATTCATTTTTAAAAGTCTCAATTGAATACCGCTAGATTTTTGTGGAATTGAAAAAGTCTAACTACAATACACCTAAACTTTTGAATTCTATTGACTTCTATTAAAATGAATTGAAATCCATATACAATGCACCCATCTATATATAAAAAATTGTACAAAAAATGTAGTGGCATAACTATTTTATTTTATCAAATGATCAATGAAATCTATGAAGTGGGTTTCGTTTTGGCGGTTCGATTTTCATCCAAAACCAAAGACAAAACAGAAGGTAAGTTGGCGGTTCGGTTTGGTTTTGCATAAAAAATAATTCCTCCGTCCCACTATATTTGTCCACTTTCATTTTTGCACACCATCCAATACACTTCTTTAATCTATTTTATCTTGTAATTTGTATATTAAATAGAAATTATATATTAATAATCTATATGTTAAGACAAATCAAACAAAATCACGCATGACTATATTTAGGCTTACACATTGAGAGAATTTGATGAGTCAAAGTGCTTAGATGAACAATTCCAAAAGTCAAAAGTGGACGAATATAGCGGGACGGAGGGAGTATGTAAATTGTTGGTTATTCGGTTTAGTTTTATGTGATTTTTATTTCGGTTTTTTCAATTTATAAAAGTAAAAATTTATAAGCATTAAAAATTGTAAAAATACAAACTCGATGAAACAATAACAATATATTGGGTTGGGTTCGGTTTTTTTTGTTTGATTTTTACACAAAACCAAAAATTGAGCGGAAGGTTAGTGTTCCGTCTGGTTCTATTTTACATAAAAAAATATGTGTCGAGTAGCCAACAAACATCTTGAAGATTCCAAATACTCCCAAAAACATCGTATATAAATATCAATTACAGAGAATTTGTATTTTTTGGTATAATACTTTCATTTTCATCATAACATCGAAGTTTTTATGTAAATATATAAATTACTCATATCAATATTTAATGTTAACATAATTTTGTATCAGAATTAGTTATTGGTGTTTATATTCTTAGGTTTTTTAAAGTTTATAACATTATTTAAAATGTTTAATTAATATGGAGTAGTTATGAAAATAACTTTAATCGACTAGTCAATTATTTGCATTTATATTTCTATGATTTTTTTTACATATCACATATACTCATATAAAAAAAAGCGAAGTACCTACAAAAATTCGATTTATTCGGTTTGGTTCGGTTTTCCAAAGTGAAAACTAAAACAGAAACCAAACAATAACGGTTCGCTTCGGTTTTTTTTACATTCGATTTCGGTTTTTTCGATTCGATTTTTTTCTAGCTTGTTTTGATCAGTTTTGGTTCGGCTTGCGGTTTCCAGTTTTCCCGACCCGACTCTAAATTTGAAATC